CATTTTTTTTAAATAATTATTTATTTATTTATTTTAATTTGTCCAGAGAGAGAGAGAGGGAAAGTGAGAAAGCAAGCCACCAGGTCCGGGACTCGAACCACAGTTGGCCATGTGGGAGTATCCAGCGCCCTAACCACCACGCCAGCTGCTGGTCCTGATCTGCTTTCCATTTTTAAATGAAATAAAAGCTCCTAGGACCACTGACTCAGGAAACCACCATCTAATCAACCATAGGCAGTGGTCCTTGGAGCTCTGGAAAGAGAGCTGGCTTTACCTTAAGCAGGGATTCCTTATGACTTTGGCTTTGTACTTCTGAGAGAAGTGGAGTGGGAGCATAGACTGTGAGCTGACTCTGGGAGAGATTTGGGTCCATCATTAGTGACCTTAGATGTCATAGCCCTGACACAAAGAATAAGAATCAAGTGCTCTCTGTTTCTTTCTCCAGAAGAAAAAAAAATCGGGGGATGGGGGGAGTGAATGAGCTTTGTGTTCTGTTCCTTTGTGTTCACTTCTTACCTGTTGTTTCAAAAAGGGAATATTGGAACATGAGTGTTTTTGTGCTAACTATCCCAAGTAGCATGTCCCCATGCCATATCCTTCTTTGTGCAGCAGGTGTCAGCCACACACAGCCTTTTCTTCCTAAATCCATATTTGTAAGAAAATCACACTTTTACCTATCTTTTTCGTGTTTAAAGAGATCAATTTCTTCCCATTTTAAGTATGCAAAACAACCGTAAATACTCACCCAGATACTGGAAACAGAGTTGTACTAGGAAATGAGCAACCTAAGGACTATCTGAAGGGAGGGACAAATGTTGGTGAACCCAGATGAAATCCTCTGGGTTTCACTGAATAGAATGTTAAGTGCTGGTATCCAGGTGAGTCTCTTCAAAGCACAGTTATGACACCTACTCAAGAACATGTAGGCATGGCCCCAATCAAAAGTCTCCTGTTTCTCTCAAGTGAAAGAAGTTGAGACATCAACTAGGAGCTATAATATCCTGGAAAAAAGTGTTCAGTGTAAACCATTAATATTCCGCTTATCCTCAAATAGATTGTCTTGGTTTTGACCTCAAGTAAGGCATTTAATTGAGCTTGAGTTTCCTAATCTTTACTTTCTTTAAAATAACTGCCTCATAGAGTCCATAAGTGGTGTGGTGGTTAAGAGCACTGGACTCCCATATGGCCAACTGCAGTTTGAGTCCTGGGCCTGGGCCTGGTGGCTTGCTTTCTCTCTCTCTCCCTCTCTGGTCAAATTTAAATAAATAAATAAGTTAAGTTTAAAAATTAAAAAAAAAAAAAAGCCTTTTGTATGCAATGTGTTTAATGAGAAGGGGAAAACATGAGGTATTGTTGTGTTTGTTTTTTTTTTTTTGAGAGGTTTTTGCTATAGGGCGCGTGTGCTCCCCAGACAGACAGAGAGAGGCATAGAGACAGAAAGCGAGAGATCACCCCCCCAGGAGGTATGGCCACGCCACAATCCCTTCTCCTCCATTCTCCTCTTGGGATCTTGGGCACGCACACACATGCTCCTGGTGTGAGTTTAAGTCACTGGGTCCGGGACTCGAACCACAGTCGACTATGTGGGAGTCCAGTGACATAGCCATTACGCTAACTGCTGGTCCCGAGATATTGTTAATAAAAAAATCTGTAGCCTGTAAAGAACCATTTAAATGTTAAGAGTAGAATAAAAATATAAAGGCAAATGTAGAATAGACATATGAAGAAAAAAACAATTCAGTGCTCAAAATTTAATAAACTTCAGTTCATATATTTTACAGATTTTTCTCAAAATATACTTTCCTTTCTCGCCAGTGTCCAACATTAGACACATAGAATTTTTTTTTTCTCAGAGAGGTTTTTGCTATAGGGCGCGTGTGCTCGCCAGAAAGGCCAGAGAGAGACAGAGAGACAGAAAGCAAGAAATCATCCCACGTGGGGATGGTCACGCTGCAAACCCTTCTCCTCCATTCTCCTCTCAGGACTTTGGGCACGCACTCACACGCACCTGGTATGAGTTTAAGCCACCAGGTCTGGGACTTGAACTATGGTTGACTACATGGGAGTCCAGCGACATAGCCATTACACCAACTGCTGGTCCCTAGATACATAGAATTTGACACATTTAGTCATATAACATGAATAATGGTCCCTTAGAAGGACAAGAGATTCCTTTCTTTACTTTTAAGCTGCACCATTAATAGATATCACAGGCCATTTGTAAATTGTAAATAATACAGAAATAGAAGGGATCAGCAGATGGCGTAATGGTTAAGTTGCTAAACTCCTACAGAGTCCCCAGGTGCATGTGTGTGCATGCCCAACATACCGAGAGGAGCACGAAGAAGAAAGGGATTGCGGCATGGCCATTCCCTCTGGGGGATGATTTCTCACTTTCTGTTTCTCTGGCTGGCTAGTGCATGCACCCTATAGCAAAAACTTCTCTACATAAAAAAAAAAAAAAAAGGAAACGGCAATATTAATTTCCAACGATACTTCCTTTCCAATTACATGGTATCACTATACCCCAAGAATGTATTTAATCCGTAACCCCACTTAGCTTCTTGGTGCACAAATTGGGAGGGCTAAAGCCTACTAAATTGTCAGTTTGCAGCACTGATTTTGACCAAAAAAACCCTCAAATTTATATATTCATATTTTATCCCAAATTATGCCTGCATCATTGAAATTAAAACTACAAAACATTAGTGAAAGAACTCACGTTGAGAAGCAGCAACATTTGTTTTGCACCTTGATGTTGAAGTCTGAGGAGTTTTCAAATCAGATTATTTAAAAATGAATCCATCGAATTTTCCCTCAGAGCTTTCTTTTGAGCCAAGGCCAGAGAGAATCCAGAATTTTTTCATTTCCTATGATTCATTCCCTCCTGTGGAGTTTTGTGCTATATATTCCCTGTGTTGTCTGTGCTTCTTGTTGAAAATCCTTATTCACTGCCCCCACCACTGGTTTTTTTTTTTTTTTTTTTTTTTGCTGAGGCATTCAGTTTGCTATATCTTGAACTAGCAGAAGGTGGAACTCCCAACCTTTGAAACCTTTCAATACTTGCTGAGTGATCAAGGGGCAGACTGGAAGAAAGACCGCTGATTGGACTTTACCCATTGCAAAAGCCTTTGTTATGATAGCTGGACAATTTTAAGGAATTTATTTTTACTTAAAACTAAAAACCTTTAGGAATATTTTTCAAAAAGTGAGGCTAAATTTTTATAGTTAGTGGTCCCTTTGAGGAACTTTATTTTTTAAGTAATTATGATCTTATTTAACTTTATTTATATTTTAATTTGACCAGAGAGGAACAGAGAGAGAAAGAGAGAAGGTGAGAAGGCAAGCCACCAGGTCTAGGACTCGAACCACAGTTAGCCATGTGGGAGTCCAGCACCCTTAACCACACGCCACCTGCTGGCCCTGAGGAACTTTATTTTTTAGACCCACTTTAAAATGAATTAATTTTGCATAATTTATTTAATAAGATTAAAAACACCTTTATTTTAAGCTTATAGCATTATCTGTTGTATTGCTTCATGTCGTTTTAGTTTGTTTGTTTTAGAGAGGGTTTTTTTTTTTGGTATAAGGCTTGTGCGCTCAATGGAAAGAGAGACAGAAAGAGGAAATCTACCACCAGGGGGATGACCACTCCCCAAGCGCCTTTCCTCCATTTTCCTCTTGGGGTCTTGGGCGAGCGCACACACACACACACACACACACACACACACGTGCCTGGCCTTGAGTTTATTTATTTATTTTTTAAAGAATTACTTCATTCAACTTTATTTATTTATTTTAATTTGACAAAGAAAGGGAAACAGAGAGGGAAGGAAAGTGAGAGAACAAGCCACCAGGTCTGAGACTCGAACCGCAGTGGGCCATGTAGGAGTTCAGCACCCTTAATCACCACGCCACTGTTAGTTTTAAGTGACCAGGTTGAGGACCTGAACCGTGGTCAACTATGTGGGAGTTCAGTGATGTAACCAATATGCCATCAGCTGGTCCCATGCTGTTTGTTTAAAAGTGCTTTACAACTATATTACATTTCCATCATATTATATTTACAGTTAGAGATTATAGATCTCGGTTAAAGGCAGCAGTAGTATCTGAGTAATAGTCTTCAAAGGGAAGACATCATGTCATAAGTTAGTCCTTTCTTTTTTTTTTTTTTTTTTTTTTTAGTTAGTCCTTTCTTAACATCAAGTCTGCTTCGTAATCAGTATGGTGCTGAAAATTCTCCATATCCTCTTTTCAAAAAACTTAGGCATGCAAAAAAATACTAGAAGTTGTGGAACCAGGGTCAGAGTCTATTTTCCCCCCTATTTCAGCCAGCTCTAATCTAGAGCTGTGAACAACGGGGCTACTACCTCTTCCTGGTGATTTTGTTTCTGCTATACTCTTCATAGCCTACAATTACACGAAATGAACCTCTTTCCATTGGTATTAATTCCTTCCATTCTCTTCCTGCACACGTGGATCCGCCCCTCCACTCACCCACCTTCAAGAAACTTGAAGGTGATGTCCCTCCACCGTCTCCCTTGTATTCTCAAATGATCCAGACCTAAATATTTTAATACACTGGCCATCTTATTCTGATGGCATTAAAAGTGTCTGCGCAACTGTTCCCTTATTTATAAGGCTCACATATGCTGTGTGACCTGTAACGCTATACTAGCTAATGACCGCTCCCGAAGCAGTTGACATAGAGGATTTTTGCTGCCACTTGCTTTCCAGGAGGAAGACGGAGAAGGAGAGACGATTGCAAAAATGAATCGAATGCATTTTCTCGGCGACCTTTAGGGGCTATGTGCTTATTGGAGGGAGGAGACTGGACTGAGGATGGAGAGGCACCGAGGAGGTGGGGGCGGAGCCTCGTTCAGTAAATAAAACCCGCGGCTAAAAGGGAAGCCGGTTCGTGCGTGGAGAAGCTACTCTCCTGTAACCCTGAGAGATGGGGCAG